TGAGTCCTTAAGTCCTATAATGAGTCAGCATTTTGAGTCCTTAAGTCCTGTAATGAGTCAGCATTACGAGTCCTTAAGTCCTGTAATGAGTCAGCATTTTGAGTCCTTATGTCCTATAATGAGTCAGCATTTTGAGTCCTTAAGTCCTATAATGAGTCAGCATTTTGAGTCCTTCAGTCCTGTAATGAGTCAGCATTACGAGTCCTTAAGTCCTGTAATGAGTCAGCATTATGAGTCCTTAAGTCCTATAATGAGTCAGCATTTTGAGTCCTTAAGTCCTGTAATGAGTCAGCATTTTGAGTCCTTAAGTCCTATAATGAGTCAGCATTTTGAGTCCTTAAGTCCTATAATGAGTCAGCATTATGAGTCCTTAAGTCCTGTAATGAGTCAGCATTATGAGTCCTTAAGTCCTGTAATGAGTCAGCATTTTGAGTCCTTAAGTCCTGTAATGAGTCAGCATTTTGAGTCCTTAAGTCCTATAATGAGTCAGCATTTTGAGTCCTTAAGTCCTGTAATGAGTCAGCATTATGAGTCCTTAAGTCCTGTAATGAGTCAGCATTATGAGTCCTTAAGTTCTGTAATGAGTCAGTGTTATGAGTCCTTAAGTCCTATAATGAGTCAGCATTTTGAGTCCTTAAGTCCTGTAATGAGTCAGCATTATGAGTCCTTAAGTCCTGTAACGAGTCAGCATTATGAGTCCTTAAGTTCTGTAATGAGTCAGCATTATGAGTCCTTAAGTCCTGTAATGAGTCAGCATTTTGAGTCCTTAAGTCCTGTAATGAGTCAGCATTACGAGTCCTTAAGTCCTGTAATGAGTCAGCATTACGAGTCCTTAAGTCCTGTAATGAGTCAGCATTACGAGTCCTTAAGTCCTGTAATGAGTCAGCATTACGAGTCCTTAAGTCCTATAATGAGTCAGCATTTTGAGTCCTTAAGTCCTATAATGAGTCAGCATTTTGAGTCCTTAAGTCCTGTAATGAGTCAGCATTATGAGTCCTTAAGTTCTGTAATGAGTCAGTGTTATGAGTCCTTAAGTCCTGTAATGAGTCAGCATTATGAGTCCTTAAGTCCTGTAATGAGTCAGCATTACGAGTCCTTAAGTCCTGTAATGAGTCAGCATTATGAGTCCTTAAGTCCTATAATGAGTCAGCATTATGAGTCCTTAAGTCCTGTAATGAGTCAGCATTATGAGTCCTTAAGTCCTATAATGAGTCAGCATTATGAGTCCTTAAGTTCTGTAATGAGTCAGTGTTATGAGTCCTTAAGTCCTGTAATGAGTCAGCATTATGAGTCCTTAAGTCCTGTAATGAGTCAGCATTATGAGTCCTTAAGTCCTGTAATGAGTCAGCATTTTAGCACTTCTTATAAATCACGTTTCTTGTGTAAGAATCCTGAAATAAGGTCTGTGGTGTAATTGAATCTGATTTTATAATATATGTTATCTTTCTACGCTCGAGCCACAACTCATGTCTCTTTTTGAGGATCAGATGACCCACAGTTCTCTAATAATCTTCTCCCAAAGTACCATGTTTCCGTTCTGTCCTCCACCTCTCACTTCTCCTGCTGCTTTGCTAACTTTCTAGGACACCGTTGAGCAAACAGCTGTTTTCCCGCCCTGAAGGCAGAGATCTGTATCTTCAGCCGTGCAATTTCTTCCTCTGGCTGTCGTGCCATAAATCTTTTCTGCCTCCAAAGACACAGACAGGAAGTTGACCTTCACGCCGCCCAGCAGAGGTGAAAAACATGAAATATGGCTGCACAGTTTGGGCTGTTGGTGTGTGATTTATATTTGTGATTTATGCTGCAAACACAGCGGGCCGCAGGAGGGTTAGTCGGCTTTTAAAGAAAGAGGGAAAGAGCTCAGAGAGTCCTGCTGTGACTTCCAAATAAAGGAAAGTATGAGTATTGTTAACGTTTGGTTTATATTCATGTAGGTGCAAGGAATCTGGGTGTGACCCTAGATAACAACCTGTCCTTCACTGCAAACATCGCTGCTACAACCCGTTGCTGCAGATACACGCTTTACAACATCAGGAAGATACGTCCCCAGCTGACTCAGAAAGCGACTCAGGTTCTGGTCCAGGCTCTCGTCATCTCACGCCTAGACTACTGCAACTCCCTCCTGGCTGGTCTACCTGCATGTGCCATCCGACCTCTGCAGCTCATCCAGAATGCAGCGGCTCGTCTGGTTTTCAACCTTCCTAAATTCTCCCACACCACTCCGCTCCTCCGCTGCCTTCACTGGCTTCCGGTAACTGCTAGAATCCACTTCAAGACACTGGTACTTGCTTACCGTGCTGCGAATGGATCTGGCCCTTCCTACATCCAGGACATGGTTAAACCGTACACCCCAGCGCGTGCACTCCACTCTGCATCAGTCAAACGACTCGTTGCGCCCTCGCTGCGAGGGGGACCCAAGTTCCCATCGGCAGAAACACGTGGGTTTGCTGTCCTGGCTCCAAGATGGTGGAATGAGCTCCCCATTGACATCAGGACAGCAGAAAGCTTACACACCTTCCAGACTGAAAACTCATCTCTTTCGACTCCACTTCGAGCGATAGAACTATTAACAAAGCACTTATATACTAATAAAGGGCTGGCTTACCTAAAGCCAGTTGAGTAGCACTTGAAATGTTTGGCTCTATGAAACCTGATGTACTTATATGATTCTGTTTTCTTCAAGGTTGTGTCTTCCTGGTCGAATGTACTTATTGTAAGTCGCTTTGGATAAAAGCGTCAGCTAAATGCAATGTAATGTAATGTAATGTAAAATGTGTATTCAGATTGAGCTTAACTGTGTTTTAGGTGTTATATTAGATGCTTAAATATAGCATGTAGCATTTAGCATATTAGAAAGTATAGTAAGTTAGCTAAAAAAACACAGTTGAAGCACGCATAAGCTTTCATAAGCTAAGCAGCAATATTTAGCATGTTCAGATAGACCTAAACTGTGCTTTAAGTGTAATAGTAGTTAGCTAAAATATAGCTTGTAGCATTTAGCACATAGTAAGGTAAGCGTTTCAGCTAAAAGGCACTGTACACATTAGCATGCTTATGTTAGCATGCTAGTTGAATGCGTAAGTGTGTGATATAATGATAGCAATGATCTACTGGAAAATAGCATATAGCTCGTAAAGTGTATTGAAAATGTTTATTTAGCATAATTTGTTCCCATTTGTGTCTACTTATGTTCACTTTTACTTTATTATATTGTAACTTTAGCATGCTAACATATAGCATGTAAGATTGAGCATATTATAATGTCTGTTAGCATACTAGATCTCAGTGCTGCGTTTGACACTGTTGACCACAGCATATTACTAGACCGACTGGAGAACTGGGTGGGACTTTCGGAAACAGTTCTGAATTGGTTTGAATCCTACTTAAAGGACAGAAACAACTTTGTTTCTAAAGGTAAATACACATCTGAGTTGACAAATATGACATGTGGGGTTCCTCAAGGCTCCATCTTGGGGCCTCTTCTCTTTAACATCTACATGCTACCACTGGCTCAGATAATGAAGAACAACAAAATAAGTTACCATAGCTATGCAGATGACACACAAATTCACGTAACAATTTCACCAGGAGACGATGCTCCAATTCAAACACTGAGTAAGTGCATTGAACAAATCAATGACTGGATGTGTCAGAACTTTCTCCAATTAAACAAAGATAAAACTGAGGTAATGGTTTTTGGAGCCAAGTCAGAACGTATAAAAGTTAGCGCTGAGCTTCAGTGTGCAATGTTCAAAACAACAGATAGAGCCAGAAATCTAGGTGTAGTCATGGACTCTGACCTGAGTTTCAACAGTCACATTAAAACAGTTACTAAATCAGCCTACTATCACCTAAAGAATATATCTAGGATTAAAAGACTAATGTCACAGCAGGATTTGGAAAAAACTTGTCCATGCTTTTATCTTCAGTAGACTCGACTACTGCAATGGTGTCTTCACAGGTCTCACTAAAACATCTATTAGGAAGCTGCAGCTGATTCAGAACGCCGCTGCTCGAGTCCTCACTAACACTAAGAAAGTGGATCACATCACTCCAGTTCTGAAGTCTTTACACTGGCTTCCTGTGTGTCAAAGAATAGATTTCTAAATACTGCTGCTGGTTTATAAAGCACTGAATGGTTTAGGCCCAAAATACATTTCTGACCTCCTGCTAAATTATGAAGCATCCAGATCTCTCAGGTCTTCAGGGACTGGTCAGCTTTCTGTCCCCAGAGTCAGAACTAAACATGGAGAAGCAGCGTTCAGTTATTATGCTCCAAATATCTGGAACAAACTCCCAGAAACCTGCAGGTCCGCTGCAACTCTGACTACTTTCAAATCCAGCAAGAAGACTTTTCTTTTTGCCGCTGCTTTTAATTGAACTATTCATATCTTAAACTGCACTGTAACTTTTATCCATGTATTTTTTCTTTTAATGTTTATTTTATTAGCTTTTCTTTTTAATGACTGATTTTAAATGCCTTTTTCTTAATGTCTTTCATTTTTTGTAAAGCACTTTGAATTGCCTTGTGTTGAAAAGTGCTATATAAATAAACTTGCCTTGCCTTGCCTTGCCTTACTACGCTGTTTGTTAGCATATAAGCATCACAGGTTAACATTATTCAGCTGTACTTCGGATACGCTTTGCTTTGAGTTTAATTCTACAAATGACACTTAGCTTGCTATTTGAAGCTAATCAGAAGGTTTGTGTTAGCATTTATCTCAGCTGTGCTTTGAGCTTTAATCTAGCTTTAGCAAGCTTGAAAAGTGTATTGAAAAATATTTGTTAGCATAATTTGTTCCCATTTCTGTCGACTTACGCTCAGTTATACTCTGTTATATCGTAGCTTTAGCATGCTAACATTTAGCCTCTGTTGGCCCGCCGGGATACAGAGGAGACCCTCAGACTTCATGGAGGTCGGAGAAGTTTTGTAATCCGTCACTGCTTTGGCCTCCAGTTTAGTTTTAGTTGTTCCTAATGTAATGAGAGAATAATGAGCACTATGGGATTACTTGGTGCTCCTCTGCGGTGAGACGGAGGGTCTGAGGGTCTGAGGGGTCTGAGGGACTGAGGGACTGAGGGACTGAGGGTCTGAGGGTCTGAGGGACTGAGGGTCTGAGGGTCTGAGGGACTGAGGGTCTGAGGGACTGAGGGTCTGAGGGACTGAGGGTCTGAGGGACTGAGGGTCTGAGGGTCTGAGGGACTGAGGGTCTGAGGGACTGAGGGTCTGAGGGTCTGAGGGACTGAGGGTCTGAGGGTCTGAGGGACTGAGGGTCTGAGGGACTGAGGGTCTGAGGGTCTGAGGGACTGAGGGTCTGAGGGACTGAGGGTCTGAGGGTCTGAGGGGACTGAGGGACTGAGGGACTGAGGGTCTGAGGGACTGAGGGTCTGAGGGACTGAGGTCTGAGGGACTGAGGGACTGAGGGACTGAGGATCTGAGGGACTGAGGGACTGAGGATCTGAGGGACTGAGGGACTGAGGATCTGAGGGACTGAGGGTCTGAGGGACTGAGGGTCTGAGGGGACTGAGGGACTGAGGGTCCTGAGGGGGACTGAGGGTCTGAGGGTCTGAGGGAC